TGTTTTCAAATGTGCAATTAGACTTTTTCTATCACTTCTAAGTTTTAATATTAATAATAATATTATTAAAAAATATGTATTTATATATAAAAAAATAATTAAGAACTAAAAAAATTGTTTTAAATTAATACTGATTTTGATTATTAATATGTTAAAAATAAGGAAAATGCACATATTTAACCTATTTTTTTAATCCTTTAAAGTTGATTTTTGTAAAAGTTTAATGTAAAAAAAAATTTATTTATTACTATAACTTTTAGCTCAATTGGCAAGTTTGAAATTGTCATCATTAAATAGAAAATTTTATGAGAATTAAAAAAATTGTATCGTTAAGATTAATATACAGTCAGAAAGTTTTATAATTACTATTTATTGTAAATTTATCAGAAAAGCTCAATATTTTTTTGCATTTTTATCGTAATAGATAACTTAAATAGAAATAGTAGTAATCTTTTCCTAGTAACTTTTGGTGTTTAAAAAGATTCTACAATTTAAATGTGAACTGAATAAATTTTAATGATTTACTTTAACTAAAATAACTAATAAAAAAAAAAGATTTTAAAAAGTTCTAAAAATCTATTGTTAATTCAAGAGAAACTAACAATAATTTTTTTTTGAAATGATTTATATAGCAACATGTTACCAAAATAATTGGAATATTATAGTCTAGTAGCAGCACACACAAATAGAGTAAAAAATTATTAAATTACAAAGTAAAATTATTAAATTTTTTAGTTGAAACCTATCGTATAAACTTAATTCGTCAATAAATATTTTGAAAACATTATAAATGGATGATTTTAATTGTCTGTATGGGGAACATGGGATAAGTAACTGTTTAATTGATAAATTAGAATTTTGTTTCAAGTTTTGAGGGTAATATCTTCAACTAGATACGAATTGTAGTCATTTGACGTATCGTAGAAAAAAGTAGGTCAAGTTAGAGCAGAGAAAATAAATGATAGTCACAAAAGAATACCCTTTCAGCTTTGCATAGAAGCTAAAACCTAAAATATAGTAAAATAATTTTAATATGAATAAGAAATTTCTTCTTGAAATTTGATAAAAATTAAAAGAGTTTAAAATTAGTTCTAACTTAAAAAGAATTAAGAAAAAATGCAAAAAATTCATTGCCATACGCGGGTAGGAACCTTGTACCCCAAGCTACCTAAGATACAAGTGTTATCGACCGGCAACCATACATCGTTTTTTTCGACTGAAAAAATGGTAATTTAAGCTAGTTCAAATTTCAAAGTTATTTTTCTCGATTTAAAAAAAGCAAAAAAATTTAAATAAGTTTAACTTTATATGCTCTATTAATTTGATTTATATAATATTTATGAACATCAGTGTACTCCCCTTCAGATATTTTAAAATAAAATACAATACATAGTCCAGAATTTTAACACAAAAATAGCATATTTTTAAATACGGTGGTCATTTTCACCATGAAGACAAATCCAGAGTTCAAATTTTTTTTTTCAAATTAAAGTGTTTTACATAAGCTTTATATATACAAAATTAAATTGAAAATGTCCTAGTTTCAATACACATGTTTAAAGTTTTGACTCTCCTTGTATAAAGGGATATGATCCTATTTAAATAAAAGTGTCAGATGAAAAGATATATAAAAATTATTTATAAAAAATAATAATATTGATCCATACATTTTTCCAAAAGTTATAGCAATATAAATTTAAAAATATAAAATGTAAAATCGAGAATTTTTTCGCGGAAATCGTACTTTTTTCTTTAACTTTGGTGTCTGTTTTATCATAACGACAAGTCCAGAGTTCAAATTTCTTTTTTTCAAAATAATGTATATTACATAAACTTTAATTTAAGGTATATATAAAAGGGTCAGTATTTCCGAAACATTTTCAAAAGTTAAGTTGAAATAGTTCTACTTTCCATATGTTATTTTAAAGGTTTGAACCCCTCTGTATTAAGGGAAATGGTCCGATTAAAAAAAAAGTATGTCGAATGAAAGAGGTATATATAAAGTATTTATCATTAAAGAATAGAATTGATTCATGCATTTTTTAAAAAGTTATATTAACATAGTGTTAAAAAATGTAAAATATAATATCAAGAATTTTTTCATAAAATTAGCATATTTTTACATACGGTAGTCATTTTCAAAAATTAAGTTTAAAAAGTTAATTATTTGTGAAAAAGTTGACATTTTGAAACCCTTCCTGTGGGCTGGTAAGGGATCAAATGTTCAGAAAAATATATCAAAAAATAGATAAATACCTAAGGTATCTATAAAAAATAAAAAGTATACTTATTCGGTCATTTTAAAAAAAGTTATAGCAGTTTTAAGTAAAAAAAAATTGAAAAAATTAGCGATTTTTAAATTTGTAATTTTATGGGGAATATCCCCCTTTACGGGGAACGAGGGAATTTATTATAATTTTTGAGCGTAATGTCTTCGACTAGATATGATTTGTGATCTTTTGACGTATTGTTCATCGAAATCGGTCCAGCGAGAGCTGAGATTGAGCGTACACAGACATAAAAAAAAAAAATAATAAAAAAAAAACACACATCATTATATAATTAATACCTTCTAAAATTTGCATCGAAGCTAAAAAAATCAATCTACTCTTATTCTTCAGTAAGAATTCGATCATCAAAGTCAAACAAATTTTCTAGCGCTAATAGCTTATGATAAATTACAATTTCAATTTCATAATTGATGTGTGTCAAACTAACCGAACTTATAATATAAGGGTGTTTTAATAAAACATTCTATGTACAACTAATTTATAACTTATAATATCATCGTAAAAATTACAATACTAAGTTATTGAATATCAATACTAAATTAAATTTAGTTGCTGTAACTAAGTTATAGCAATTTGAGTAAGTAAGGAAACAGATAAATGTTTACAAACAATGAGAACAATAGAAACCCGTTTCCTTACTTACTTAAACCATATATATATTATAATTAGTCCTACATATTTAATTTATTAGATCATCCTTGAAAGTAGTAAATGTGTTGTTTTATACAATAAATATAAAAATTACATATAGTTCACCCAAATTTTTTCTTTCATAATGATATAAATTAAAGTTCACTTTTTGTGTTACTTTTGTTACGAAAGAGTTTAAATCATTTTTGTTCCTAATCGTTTTAGTTCGTTAAAACGCATATAGTTTTTA